GTTGCATCCTAATAACATCCAGTTCCTCTTACTTGTCGTCAATCCAAGCGATTTTATCTTCAGAATTAATAAGTGGAACCGGTATATCTGATTAAAACTTGAAAAAATTCGTAGTAATCACCGGATTTTTTTTTTCTTGCACTCAGCAAGGATCATAGCAGGGAGTGATGAAGAGTAAAAATGCTCTCTACGGAACGAAGGGAAAATCAGCATTTCAGTTTCTCTTCCTCAGAAAAAATGGAGAGAAACATGATGGAAACTTAATTTAGGTTCCAAAAATTATACAGAAAAAAGCAGAAATCAAAACTTATTTTAACTGAAATTCAGAATTAATATCGAGCTGAGCTGTCAAAAACAAGTTGCAGGAACGTTCAAAAAGTCTATTGCGGTAATATGATCTTTTCATGGAAAAAATATTGCGGTCACCTCAGCAAAAATGAAAGAGGAGCAGCACTTACTCGCTGTTTGCTAAATAAAATCCCCGACAAGCAATTTTCGCTTTTAAGAAAATTTAGCCAAAAAAAGTAAAGGTACACACCTGGCCAGGATACCAAAGATTCAAATAGCATTGCGGGTAAACATTTCCCTTTGGATCCACAAAGCCGGCCGGGCGATCCTTCATCATGAACATGTTTATCAGGCCAATAAGCAGTGATGGGGCGCAATTCGATGATGGATATTCATTGCCTAACACATATCCACTCTGAAATGCTAGCAAGCCTGTTGAAGCAAACATGCTTTTCACCTCATTCAGACTTATTTCTATCCAAAAATTTTTAAACAACACCTCAGAAAAGTTCAAGCCCTTTGTCCTCTAAGAGGATCATCACAAAATTTAAGAGAGGTGCTATTAACGATGAATTATGCAGAAGTTATACTTAATGGAGGATTATTAAGAGGCTGATAAATAGGCTAAGCAGCCACAGGCGGATCCAGGACGGGCTCCTGAGGGACGGGGAATTGACGGGGGGATTCGAGATGAGAGTGGGGATCCAGCGGGGAAAGGGGAGGGGGAGCGGGAAGGGGAATCCCCTCCCACCCTGGAACTATGCAAAAAAAAGGAATAGAGTTGTACCACTGCTACTTAGAGTATTTCAGTCTTCAGTTTACTTTAGTTTTAGCTTTAGACCCAGACTTTTGCAGCATTGGTGCCTACTCAGGCACCATGAAGGATCCTTCGCCTTCCCCTCCCTCCTCTCCTCTTTCACTTGAATCCTTCTATGTAGGCAGCATTAGCTAAAGCAGTTGGCAAAGCTGCCAAATGCATGCCTGGAGAACCACGCTATGCACTCCAGCCGGTTAAAGTAACATGTTCTAAAGGGGAAACAAGCGAATACATATAACACAAATTCATCTGTGCAAATGGGCTTGAAAATTAGCAGATATCTATGCTCAGCTGTCAGAAAGCAATCTTTTCAGAGAAAAAAAAAGATATAAATATCAACCTCAGCGGAAAACAATAGCCATTTGAAGATGATTTCCAAGCAAAGATAAATAAAAATGCAACCCAAAAAGAGCATCTGCGGGATGAACATATATAGAATGTCCAAACGTGAATCAAAATATCTGTAATTACATTAAAAAAAAAAACATTGTTATTTCGTTATCACTACCACAGATCAGCTGGGCAACCAAAAAAAAACAGGCACAGGAAACGACACAATGAAATACATCTTTCCGAGAAAACGGAGGAAACCGAAAGTTGAAAACAGGGTTGGCCAAAAGATGATGTCAAGTTCAATCAAAGCAATCATGAAAAGTATCATTTGCATCCAGCAAATCGTTGAAATTCAAGCTTCGGTCAGAAAACAGACTTGCAAAGGCACATGAGAACTCATACTGGTGAGAAGCCGTTCAAATGCGGCCATTGCAATTCAAGTAGCGGGATAAAATGGCTGATCATAAAATAATAACTCATATTTTTTGATTAATCCAGAAAGTAAGCTTACTTGTAATTTTCGTAGCTCAGCAAGACGCCAAATGTCATTTGTGCAATACCAACAATAACGGACATTTTCATTTTCATCGAATTCAAAAAACTCAGCTTGTTATTTTCGGCAAGATTCCAGATCGGATCCACCCCTATCGGATATGGGCCTTCCGACTGAAAGATAAAAATACACGAAATACCAAAAAAACAAGGACTCGCGCGAACTCCCAAAGCTAATGAAATGTATTTATACATCGCCCGCTATCTCAAATCTTTCCTTTTTTATGCGTTTTGTACTGTGTAACAGCAGTACAAAACGTATACTGTCACGGGGTTGTCTGTGTGTGTGTGTCCGTAACTTTCAATTCGGGAACCACAAAAGTTAGGAAGCTAAAAATTTAGGGGAACATTCCTCGCCCACGTGTAACC